CTCTGGGGGTCCACCCCCACTCTGCCATTGAGCGACTTTCAGGGTCCCAATTTCAGTCACACTTGCCCTCAGGCTCAGCTTCTCTGCTCCAGCGTGGAGTCCTCCATGGCCTAAACATGGGTCTCTGCTCTGCTGTTGAACTTCCGTGGGCTGCAGGGGACCTCCTTTGCCTTCTCCTACTCCATGTAGTTGAACTGGGTGTCTGAGGTTCTCTGACTTCCCCCTCCTCCTCCTCCTTTCTCCTGGCAATGAAGTTCTCTCTTTGTTTAGGCCGATAGTCTTCTTTTGTTCAGGTCAATGGCCTCTCCTCCAGGTTGTCTCCACCTTCTTCTTTTCAAGACAGTCCTTTCCTTCACAAATACAGATTTGCAGAGGCATTTCTCTAGTGCTAATTGGCTCAGCCTGGGCTGGGGGAGTACTTCTTGGAGCCAGGCTTCTCACAAGGTGGCCTCTTCCCCCACTACCAAAAATGGCCCCACACACAGACACAAACCCAACACAAAATTAGAAGGCTCAATTGATTCCAAACCTTACTCTATGAATTTAGCTGGAAAAGAGGCTATATTGCAAACTGCTAATCTTCACTGATTGATGCTGTGGCAGCTTGCCTTTGTCTAATAATCTCCATTATAGAAACGGAAAACAACAGCCTAATTAGATGAAGTGTGTGCTGCAACCTCATAGGTACAGACACTCACAGGTACAAATCTAGGACTGCTAATGAAAGCCTATCAAGTACATAGAGTCCTAGCACAGAGTGTGCCCTGGAGCTGAGGGACGGTAAAAATGTTAAGAGGAATTTGGCTATAGAGAGAAATGGAGGCTTTGGGACTAACTCCTTGGTTGAATAAAAAACCACATTATAAGACCCAACAAAAAATCAATATATTTTCAATATTTACTTTTACTTATTCAATAATAGTCCAAAACAAGACCTTGTCTTCCCTTCCCCTTGCCAAAGTAAAACCAAAAATCCCAAATCAAAAAAGCCAGTAGTTGGAACACAGAAATTCAGCCAAAATGGGGCTTTGTAGGCATTGTCAGTAGGACTATTTCTTTAAGTGGGTAACTTATACATGTTTATGGTGCAGACAGCTCATGGTCCTCAGAGACAGAGTGCTGTCTCCTGTGTCCGTGGTGACTAAAGAGAAGGAGCTCAAGAGACAGAGCAGCAGCACTGATGAAACTTTCAGAAATACTGTTGAGCTGTTCTGTTCCCCTTGCAGCCCTTACGCTGTTGAGATCATGCAGCAGAGAGCTTCACATTGGAAGGCTGGATGTAGGTCCATAGACAGGCTTCCCTAACACATTCCTTTTGCCTTGAAGCTATTATTTTTGAGTTGGATCCCAACTAGCAGAAGCAATATGAACTGTAGTAGTAGAGGACTCAGAGGGTGTATAGCTAACTGAGTTTGTGATGCCAGTAAAGTCATAGTGTGACTGATACCATGGTGGTACACCTCTTAATGGCCATAACAGTCATGCAGGTGTGATGAGTGACCATAGCACACATGCATAAAAATAATACAGAGATAGTCTGAGAAAAGATAGCCTGAAAAGATGTATAGTGAAGATATAGCTCAAAAACAACATTAACATTGTTAGGAAGCTAAAAGTCTTAATTTTACAGTGAAATATTTTTAAATTCATATGCAAAACAAGATAGAGAGGCTGAGACTTGAGGTATGGTTGAGGAGGAGAGAAAAAAAACAAAAGGGAACAGAAATGTAGTTGCAAGCATCCAAGCATCTTACACTCCTGGTACTTCCATGTAAAAACTGCTTTGTCATCTTTTTAAAAACTTGTGGGAGAAAGCTGATATACAGAAGAGCATACAGTTCAAGGTAACTCCTCCTTTAAAGGCGAAATAGTGTGAGGGGTTTTTTGTATCCTCAAATGAAGGACTGGTGGAGGTCAACAAACTGTAGATAGGAAATAGAAGAGGCAGAGTTCCATTTAGATAGGACATAACAAAAAGCAAACACATGCAGACCAAATATATAAGTGTTTTTATACAAATATTAGATGTTTTACAAGAAGATTAATAAAGTGGAACACCTGGTTTTAGAACAGGAAGCTATAAATCTAAAATAACTTTTAAAATGTGATAGGAGGAACATGTAGGATATTGTTCCTATTTAATTTACAATGGGGTATTACTAAATAGATTATACAAGTGGAGAAATGGTCCTAAACATTATAGAAACCTTCTCTCAAAATAAAGTAAGTATCTTTTCTTTATCAGTGAGCAACATAAAATTGTTCTAAATTACATGCTTTGATAGGAGACTCATCATATTGAGGGTAAATTATTCACCAGCCAGCCTGGATAGGAACAGTGACTGGCATATTAAAGAGGTTAGAGATTTTATATAGATAGATAATTAAATAATAATTTGAGACTTCTATTCTGCCCACATTGACCTAGTAAATGCAATGACATAGAATGATATAGAGAATGAGGTTTTAAATAAGTTTTCATCTTTCTTAGAGAACACACAAGTGAACAAGTGACTCTAGACCAATACAGAAATTACATAGAACCTAATTTGAAATTTTATTATGAAAATCCAATTCTATTACAGTGATCTGACTATAATCAAACTGAAAAACCACGTGTAGCAAATACCTCAAAAAATTTCCACAGTACTAATTTGAAAAAGGGAAGCTACATAATAACCTTTCTCATTTCTAACAGAAAATTTTCAGTGAAGTAGCAGTGAGAAGGATAAAATGCACCTGATTTGAACACTTGAAAGAACCTTTTGTTTCTTTAAAGAAAGGGCTTGTATTCATAATTAATGAGCTATAGGAGACAAATAATGACATGACGAGGTTTGCCAGTGGTACAAAATTACCCACAGTAGGAAAAACGAAAGCTTCCACAATGATGAAAGCTGTGGAAGAGTATATGAGACTGGGTAATAAAATGCAAATTAAATTTAGCTTCGATAAATGCAAAGTGTTACATAGAGGGGGAGAAAAACCTCTTAAACTATATTTGCAAAATTACCGGAAAAGTTGAAGAGAATCTTAAGAATTTGTGAGGAAAGAGAGAACAAAACAAAAAAGAATTACTGTGTCATTGTATACAGACATGGTTCCCTTTCTTGAATACTGTCTGCAGTTCTGGTTCTTGCATTAAAAAAAAAATACAGTAGAACAAGAAAGGGTACAATAAAGACAGCAAGGGTGACCAGGGAAAGGGGGTAGCTTGGACAGGGAGAGATTAAATAAAGGAGGATACATGGGCTGGAAAATTATTACTTGAGTTTGGTTATGTTTGCGATACAGAATATCATAAATAACAAGGAGAAGAGGAATCAAGAAGAATTAGTTACTGTACCACACAAAAAACAAGGAGCATTGAAATAAATCATCACGCAAGACAATTAGTACAAACGGCATGAATTACTTTTTCACATAACACAACTTATTTGATATAGCATCTTGCAAGAACCAGAAGGTATAAAGAAATTCATGGAAGAAAAGTTCACTGGCTGTTTTAACACAAATTTTTCAGTCATGATTAGGAAATCCTCAGTGCAGATTGTTGGAAGCTGGGAGAAACTTAAAAGGAAGTGTCATTACATACCACAGCATGTCTTATATGTGAAATCAGAATATATTCTTTCTATAGCTGTATATTCTTACTTATCAAGTTTCTGAACTAGATAGACTTTGGGCCCAATATGATCATTTTTATGTTCTTCTGTGACTTAGCATATTAGGCACTATGTTGTATATTTGTAGATGTTTTTGATCTGCTGCCTTTGTTTTGCTGGATTTAGGAAGGACAACAGAATTTTCGCTGTTTGTATACTTGGGATTTTGTAAAGTAGCCAGCTATACTATTCAAGCATGTAAGTCATGCTTTAGCACTTCCCACTGTGCCAATCCTTGCAAGGAGATACTACCACTAGATTGTCTGTTTAAGATCTTTATCAAGTTACTTAGCTGCTTTGCAGATTTATAATACAAAAGTAGGTTGTGAGGAAATCCTGTGCTGTGCCTTTGCTTGCAACTGGACCTACAAGGCTTCTGATTTTAATGTGGATTATCAAAAATAAATGGATTAAAATGAAGATGTGGTATATTTTTTCAAAACAAAGTCCTGTCTGTCTGTCTTGCTTTTGTTAACTGTAGAAGCCCCATGACTGCATTAAGAAAAAAAGCAGCAATATGCAGTTTAGGAAGAATACAGTGCCATGTATTTGTAAAGTCATTCTGAGTCATCAGTTAAGCCCTTTGCTATTTTTAATTATATCTCCGACTTGGAGGTTCAAGGAACATAAAGCAAACAGAGTTAATGTGAAAGTTCTTTCCAATACATGTGCACATTTCATCTCATGTTGGAAGTTATGTACTTTAAGAGGAGCAGGGACACCTAAAAAAACCCAGGAAGAGCTTAGAGTGCAGGAGTCAGTGTTCACCCTCTAGCAGCAATAAATTGCACCCAGAAGAGCACCTTGGTTTACTGGTTTTTTTAAACTTAATAAAAATTCTTAATCCCAATGACATGAAATGGAACTGGCATTACAAAGGAAGATGTAACTAGATTTTTATAGTTAATTCTCATGCTGTTCTCACAGGGTCTCAACTGGGTGGAAAATTAAATAGATCAGATTTCTGAGATAAGTTAAGGAGGAAGTGGGGCAAGAGGAACATTAGTGAAAGTAAGCTATCATTAACATTTCCATTAAATGCAGTCTTACAAACTACCCTAAAAACAGTTCAAGCGTGATGGAGAAAAGCAGCCCTTTCATTTTCAGTGGTCCTCTTTTAGGATCAAGTCAGGCATATCTAGTGTTGGGTGGGAGGAATGAAACATTTCTTCTGGACTTTGTGCAGTCTTTTCTTTGAGGTATTCTTAGGTCACCCTAAGTAAGTTTTCAAAATGAGAACTTCTTCCTCTTCCTGCATGAGTCACATGGAATGAATTAGAACTATAAAACTCTAGTTTTCCTGTCACTACTAGTATTCATTGCCGAGTTGTATGAGATTTACAGATGTTTTACTTGTTTGGGTTTTTTTGGGTTTTTTTTAATTAAATCTTTCACTAAAAGTATATGGAGGATAGTATGCTGGGATAACAAAATTTTCTGTCAAAATGTGGACATAAGCATAAATACCAAAACTTAGAAATTCTCCAATCATATGTGGGAAAAGTGTGGTTCTAATTTTGTTACTGTGATTAATTTTTGATGATAATGTATTCTCAGTTTTAAGTCTTCTTTGCATGTTTATTTGCATTTTAAAATTTTGTTTAAAATAAATTGCTGTGAGTTTATGAACTTCAAAAATTGAATGTGAGAGAAAAGGAGCACTTTTGAGGTATTTGCATTCTCATTACAACAAAAAAAGAGCAGAGGAACACTGAGGAAAATTGTTTCTGTTAAGGCATATATGTGTCACAATAATTATGTCTGCATGTAAAAATGAACAGATAAATATACAGGACAGTTTCTGCTCCCAAGTGAACACTTCATAAACAACCAAATAATTTTCTTAAGTGAGAGAACTGAATGATGTGGTTCAGACATAGATAAGGATGGATTCTCTCTATATAGAAATGACAGAACATCCAAGCTCAGTATCTCCTAGTACTCAAAGATAAAAAATGAGAATATTCTGCTTTCCTTTGAAATATATTTTGAGATATTATGTAACATTTTCCATCAATAATTACTACCCTACCTTATTTAACAGAGAATGTACCATTTTCCAGTGGAATGCTATATTTTGTGGTGTGGTATGGACTGAAAATACTTGTCTTCAGATACATTCTATATACAGAAAAGATATTTTAATTTTCTAGTGTGGATGGATTGATGGTAACTAACCTACAAGAGCAGATTACTTCAGCGCTGTTGGTAGCTTAGGATCCTATCTCCTGTCACATCACCAAACTGCACAGAGCAACATACTTTCTAATGATCATTTGGCATAGTGATTTGACATCATTTGTGTTTATAACTTCCCAGCTGCTACTTGGGTTCATCCATCTTTGACCAATTTCTGATAGCTGGGTCTCACAAAAATTAGTCCTAGTAAGCTTCTTAAGAATCTCTAAAAAAGGTTGGAATAGTTTTTCAGTAACACAGATAGCAATTTCAGAGTAGGTGACAGCATAGTATGATGGCACAAAGTTTATGATGACATAGATGGCAGCAACGTTTACTGACACTCATTTGAATTTATATGCCTAACTTATTTATGGCTTTACCACTTGTGAGCTATGTGGTAATCCCAAGTGCATGAAAATTAGTTTTCATATTGTATTTCATCACTGAGTATTTTTCCTGTGCATGTGGTTTGGGTTTTTTTTTTTATGTAACAATATTATCAGTGTCTCAAATTTACTGTTTTGCTGGAACTAAAATTAAAATATGTAGAGCTTCTTTGTCCAGGATAACTGGAAAGCATAATTTTAAAGAAAAAAAGGCTAATGAGATTAGCATAATAAAATGAGGCTTTGCATCAAGTGTCATTTCCTAAGAGTAAGAGTAATTCACAGTAAAAGTATGCTGCACAAATTCTGTAACAGGAAAAGGCCTGTTTCTTAAACAATTAGTCTCTGTAGAATTTAATGTTGAATACAGTCTTGCAATAGTTACCGTATGCTGTAGAGAAAGATGACAAGATGATCTAATTGTTTTTCTAACCTCTAGTATGGTCCTTTGCCTTGAAAAGGCAAGTTACACTATTTTTAGAAGTTAGCTGCTTTCAGAGTTGCCAGCAGTCTTGATAATTATTTCCATTACCATGTGATTTTTAAATTCTACAAATCTGCATTTCTCTTTTGAATTTTAGATACCATTCCAGGGAGACAGTGCATGTCCTCCTGCTTCTTTCTTCTTGGACAGTTTGATAATGTCCTGATTTACCTCAACTCAGTCAAGGTTAGTATTGTTAATTAGTATCATCAGTAGTATTCTAATGTATGGAATTACTGCTTTTGGAATTAGACTGTACTGTGTGAGACAGTGTGAACAAAAAGATACAGAAACACAACAGTAACAACAAAGCACAGGAACAACAGTGGCACCTAAGTGGTCAATACAGCAAATGGATTAAAATGTAAGGAAGCAGTTTAGATAGCATGGTGCAGCATGGTGGTCATATCACACGTGCAATTTAACCATTATCAAGCTTTCTAGTGGCGTCACAGAAGTCAAGGAAGATAATTAAAGGAAGAAAGTGAAAAAAATTGTGTATTTATAGGGTGGGCAGCATGGAGGAAAAAATCATGTTGTTTTGGGGTTTTTTAAGACTTATCAAATGAGTGATAGAGATTATTTTCACTGGTTAATAACTGGGGACAACGTTTTAATGAACAAGAGTGTGTAAAGAAGGCAGGACATGAAGGACCCTGAAAATAATAAAGCTTATATTTTATAGGGAAAGCAGTCGCTGAAGAGCTAAGATAGGGCAGTATTACCAAAGCAGTAAGCTAATAAAATTATTTTTGCAGAAGTAATCCAAGTGGTACCCTGCAGGCAATGTTGCATTTTTCAAAGTAAGAGAAGGAGATTGTCGTTATCATAATGCACTATTACCAGATCACCAGTACTCAACAGATAAAATGGATATAACTTAGAGATATTCAGTTTTAAATCACATGTGGGGGAAAAAGAGAGATGCTGGAGTTGTGATTATAGGGGTAAATAATTGCAGTCTTGTTCTACTGAGTTGAAACTAGAGTTGTAAGAACTCTATATTTGATAGGAAGAGGAACAGAATCTGAAAAGAAACGGTTAGGGAGATGCATGAGATAAGGACAATTACAATGTTCTAAGGAGAGTGAGACCTAAAGAAAAATATATGGCTGTAATGGTGCCAAAAGCAGCTGGTAAGTGAAGAATGGTGAAGGTGTAGTGTTTTAAAACTTTGTCTGGAAAGAGGTCATTGAAGAAATAAATTCCAAGTGGCTGTAGCCACTGGAATGGCTCCACTCTGGTGGAATGAAGAGATCCCACCGCCACCACCCCAAATTGGAGTGTGTGTGTGTGTAATTGGAAAAAAAAGAGAGCTAGAAACTAGCAGTGAGATTTGTTTTGCCTAACTCAAACCATTTAAAAGTCAGACTTGGAGTTATAACTGATCATCTGGTCTCAGTCTGTAGCCAGTGTGGGCTGATGGTAATTTCCAAAGAATTAATCCTATGTATTTCTTGTACTTAGAATGGAATGAGTAAACCCATAGAAATACCCAGCTCTTTCCATTTACTTAAAGAAGTTCTTAATAACTACTTCTAACCTGAAAAGGTTAGAGTAAAATGTGATTACTCACCACCTCTTAGGTATAGGAGAAAGTTAGAAATGAGAAAGAGAAAAGAAAGGTGAGCATCTGGGGAGGCAAATGGAATCATTAGT